AAATCTTCCATTTTGAATAAAACTCCAAATCCCCCAAAAGATAATTGACTAAGGAGACAATTGTTTGATTAGATACTTGGAATAAAATCCGAAGCTCCTTGGGAGGAAAGAATTTTGAAGGAAAACCCGAGTAGAATTTTAGAAATTATGAAAAGTTTTTGATCAGACAAAAATCTTTAGGTTTTTTAACTTTAGAGGGAATTTGATTTTATGGAAAGGTGTTTGATGAGGAGGTAATGACCGAGTCTTTCACTTTGAAATGAAATTTTGAATTTCCTTAGAAGACATTTGACTATAAGGTAACTGTTTGATTAATTTCTTCGAATAGGATCTTAAATTCCTTGGAAATTTTTTGAAAATAAAATTTGATTACAGTTCGGAAATTATGGAAAGTTCTTTTCGTTGAGAAAAAATCCTTGGGCCACTACCTTTGAGGGAACCTTAATTTTATGGAGAAATGTTAGACAAGGAAGTGATGACCAAGTCTCTCATTTTGAATAAAATTTTGGTTCCTCTGTAAGATATTTTGCTAGAGGGTGATTTTTTGATTGATTCCTTGGAATAAAATCCGAACTCCTCAAAACATTTGAAAAAAAAGAGGAAAGGAAAACTTTGAAAATTTAAATAAAAAAGGCACTTCATTTTTGAAAAGGATTTTGGAAAAAAAAAAATTGAAGTGGAGATTTGATCACGCACTTTTGAAAATAAATTGGGGGACATTTCGGGAAACAATAAATAGTGGAAAGACAATTGTTTAGAATGATCACTCTGCAAGGAATCATTAAAATTCCTCAAAATTGCCTTGGTTGGGCAACTATCACCCATTCGGTGATGATGATGACTTCGAGATCCGATGGCAAGTGTTATACAAAATTGACTATGTCCATTCACCTATCCTTAGGTCTGCTGCATAAATCCCGGACTCTATTCGTGGGTTCTGTTATGTCAACGAGGCAAGCATCAGATTATGCTGCTAGTACTGTTTGATCATTCCCTTGTGGAAGGAGTGGTATGTTTACAATAATAACTGATGTCTCTTTTTGTGACCAAATTCCCTTTTGCATTTATAGTGCATTAGCACCTTCCAAACTAGGGCAGGATACCCTCCATTCTAGGATTGTTTTGTTTGCCTCTTTGAATGATTTAGTTAATCGTAGATCTCATTTCTAAATTAGGACAAGGCAACCCTACCCTCCGACGATAGGCATGAATGCAAATTATTTGCTTAGGTGATATTTTGAAACTGATTTGATTTGATTCTAGACATCAACAATGAGAAAGACGGTGATTTCATTCCCAAAATCTAGGGAGTTTGATATGGTAGTGGTTTGATTTAGGGATGGCAATTTGAAACCGGCCCGACAGGGACCCGACCCCAATTAGAGCCAATTTTTCCCGAAAAATATCCGCTACGGGCCGGGGATGGTACTCAATAATAAATCCCCGGGGAAGGTGATATGTTTTTCATCCCCGGCCCCGACCCCGACCCCGTTCCCGTTAGCCCCTCAAATTAAACTTACTGTAAATACCCCTTAATATATAACCCTCTATGTAACTATTCTATTATGTCTCTCTGTTCCCTCTACACTCTCACTCTTGCACCTCTCCTCTCCGCCTCCTCAGCGCAGCTGTCACTGTCCGCGAAGCCGGAGTCGTTGTCCACCTCGCACCGCCACTTCACCTCCGTCGACTCCGCCGTTCACTCCACCTCCATCGCTACTCCACCTCCATCGCTACCCTCTCTTCCTGTCCGTTGAGTCACCATCGTCGCAGTCACACAGAGATCTCAGATCTGTGTTGATCTCCTCCGTCGTCGTCGCCGATCAGCCGATCTCCTCCGTCGTCCTCTCTCTCTATGTATACATGTATGTGTGTCTCTGTGCGTGAATGTACACATGTGAGTATGTATGTATGTATTTGTGTATGATTTTTTGAGTACATTGCTGATGATGTTGAAAGTTGTTGATGGTGTTGAATGTTGAAACAGATTTGGATCGGGGAACTTTCGGGGTCGGGGAAACCCGATCCCCGTTGGGGGCAGGGACAGGGACCGTGATAGGTTCCCCGTCGGGGATAGGGGCCGAGGACGAGAAAGTTCTGGCCATCGGGGATCGGGGACGGGGAGTGGGATCCCTGGCCCCGCCCCGCCCCGTTGCCATTCCTAGTTTGATTCTATGGCAATCCAAGTTATTTGGGGCAATGTTCCAATTACAAAGATTTAGGGGTTCAATTTAGGCAGTGATTCATATTTTGATCATGATTTCAGTAATCAGTAGTAAATTAGGGGGGGTTCCCAATTTTTAAGAATTTCAGTTCTTACCTCAGTGATTAAAAAAAAAAAAAAAAAACGAAGCAAGAAAAGATCCATTGTAATCTGACTAAGGCCCAGCAGCAATGGTATTGTTTGTAACATCTCCAATGCTGTGTCCCACTTTCTCTCTCCAACATTCTCTCCATCTCCATCGCCACCTCCATTACCTCCTTCCTCTTTGATTGGAAGCAATAGTAAAGCCTGCTTAGCTTTTACTTTCCATTTTCCTCAGTGCTGAAGGTCTACAAGATGCAGGAGTACAAGTCCAAGCTCATATCAACAAATGTCGACAAGCATGTCCATGTGGACACTGGTCCACAAAAGCTCCACCTATCTTAGGATTAAGTCTATGAATCATAAAATTTCCTATATATTTTAGCAAGAATACCATTTTTTAGCATAGAACTGGAATAACATCTCCAATGTGTTGTATGCATGTAGAAGCATCAACAGCACTTCAGCACATTAAAGTGAAACACTAAAATTGACATAACCTGAAAGATTGCATTGCTGAGATTCTATGGACAACACGCACCTCCCAAGTTTGCTGCTGCAAATTTCAAGCAGATAGCCTTCAGCTGTGGACACTGGTGTTGTGCGGCAAGAGGAAGAGTTGTTGCCACTGCTTTGAGGGAACCTTAATTTTATGGAGAAATGTTAGACAAGGAAGTGATGACCAAGTCTCTCATTTTGAATAAAATTTTGGTTCCTGTATAAGATATTTGGCTAGAGGATGATTGTTTGATTGATTCCTTGGAATAAATTCCGAACTCCTCAAAACATTTGAAAAAAGAGGAAAGGAAAACTTTGAAAATTTAAATAAAAAAAGGCACTTTATTTTGAAAAAAAAAATAAATTGAAGTTGAGATTTGATTGTGCATTTTTGAAAATAAATTGGGGCACATTTCGGGAAACAATAAATAATGGAAAGGCAATTGTTTAGATTGATCACTTTGATAGAAATCATTAAATTTCCTCAAAATTGCCTTGGTTGGGCAACTATCACCGAATGGGTGATGATGATGACTTCGAGATCCGATGGTAAGTGTTGAACAAAATTGACTGGGGCCATTCACCTATTCTCAGGTTTGCTGCATAATATTCCGGACACTATTCGTGGGTTATGTTATTTCAACACGGCAAGCATCAGATTATGCTTCTAGTACTGTTTGATCATTTCCTTGTGGAAGGAGTGGTATATTGATAGTAGTAATTGATGTAGCTTTTTGTGACCAAACTTGCCTTTTGCATGCAGAGAGCATTAGCACCCTCCAAACTAGGGCAGGATACCCTCCTTTCTAGGATTTTATTATTGCCTCTTTGAATGATTTTGTGAATCGTAGATCTCATTTCTAAATTAGGACAAGGCAACCCTATCCTCCGACGATAGGCATAAATGCAAATTATGTGCTTATGTGATATTTTGAAACGGATTTGATTTGATTCCAGAGAACAACAATGAGAAAGACGGTGATTTCATTCCCAAAATCCGGAGAGTCTGATATGGCAGTGATTTGATTCTGTGGCAATCCGGGTGGCAGAGGAGAAGGTGACAGGAAGGGGTTGGGTTGGGGCAGCACTAATGGAGGTGGTGGAAATGAGTTAGAGTTGGGGTTTGAAGATTGATGATGAAGGCAATATAAGAATACAGTGGTGTGAATTGAATTAAAATAAAAAAGTCAAAATTGTGTGGTGTGCATGTTAAACATCTAATTTAAAGCCAGAAATGCCCTTGGACCTTTGATTTTGATAAAAAAAATTTTTGGTTCTGTCAATTAGTATTGTTACGATGTCAAATCTGGGTGCTTTATCATTTTCCTTGAAGTGAAAGAATGCCCTTAGACCTTTGATTTTGATCCCTTGCTCTTCTCAAGTGAAAGTTACATCCATTAAATTATTTTTGAGAAGCTATTGTCCCTACTGTCAAATTTCTTGACCACACAGATCAATCAAAGATTGCAAAAACTGTGGGGCCACTATTTTGTGATAGAGATTCTCGTCAGTTCACAACTTTATTCAAATCAATTTGTAATTATTAAAATTTTGAACTTTCTGAGGCTGCAAAAAAAAAAAAAAAAAAGAAACAATTTATTACTGATATACATTACTGTAACAAAGCAAAACAAAGTTTACAACAGTTGATGCTGATCATTGAGTTGAATTTATTAGTTTATAGATAAAATTAGCCTGATACACTAAATCCAGAAAACATTTTCTTTGTCTGCACTATGTTCTGCTTCAGTTGGCTTGAAGTATTCTTCCATGGTTTTCTTCCTCAATAACTGTAAATTAGAATAGAAAATCTCATGAGCTGAATTCATGTGGCCTTGAGAAAAACGTAAGCTCATTTGTTTAAGATCATCGATTTTCTTGTGAGATCTTGTGTTCAAATTTGTTGTTGTCAAGACCAGTAGTTAAATGAGTGTCTCCCTTCCTAGCCAACCACCAATGCAGTATTCATTAAAAAGAAAATTCATGAAACCAAGCATTTGGATCATAATATTATTTGTTATTAGACATAGCCTCAAAACGTGTTTAGATTTGAAGCGTTGAGTTACTTAAGATGCTGAAAGTGGCAATGCATTATCTTTGTGACTGATTTTATGTTCTTGTGATTATCTATGATGTCTCTGTCTTCTGTGTTTTCCCACCTTCAAGCTGTATTTTTTTCTATTTGGTGGGTCTGCAGGTATGTGAGCAGCCTTGGTAATAAGAGAGTTGAACTCTTTGATATGGGAGCAGGTGCTAGTGATCCTACAGCAGATGACAATGTTCAAATGGCATCAGGTGAGATCAGGACCCTCTTCATGTCTGCATCTGAACAATTTGTTGAGCATGGTGTATTATTTTGAAAACAAAAGTTGTTCATGTGCTTTATGCTTCTCGTGTTTGTTGTTATTGAATGCCCCCAATATGATTCGTGGCTTATTTGTTTTTGTTGTTAATTCGTTTTCTGCAAATTAGTAATTCTTAGGCCCTAAGTTCTATGATTAGCAGCTTGGATTTTTTCTGCTATTAAGAACTTCTTGGTGGTACAATCCTATTATATTTCTGCTGGAATTGAAATCTGCCTTCGCCTTTTTCTGTAGCTAGTAGCCAATGAATGTAATGATGTTAATGGGTGTGAATTATGATTGTTGCATATGGAATGAGTACAGGAACTTGGAGTAGATAATAGATCTAGAGGGGATGTGTTCAGAAGTGGAAAATGAAGTTTTTAATGTGGTTTAGCTTAGTACATAAGTGAATTGTCTGGTTATATTTCATTTACTTTGTCTTATTGTCTTGCTAATGTTGTGGTCATGATGTGGCGGATTGAGTCTTGGTATTAAGAATTAATGAAAGATTAAAGGTTTTTGTGGCATTTCATTTATGATCCTAGACTTTGCTTTTAACAATCCCATGGATTCCTCACATGAGATAGAAAAGATTGAAAATATTTTTATCCTGCATCAATCATCCAATGTTATTAGTTATAATTCTCTGTATAAGCGTGTCAGTTAAACAATGTTGAGCTCAACTATGAACCATGCAAGGTAACCATTCTTCATCTTGTTTTCACAACATCAAAAAAACAAAAAAGAGAGAATTTTTTAAATAAAAAATAAAATTTTTTTTTTTTTTTAATTGATTTTAAAAAAAGAGTTTTGGAAGTTAATGAAAGTTGTTTTTTGATTAGAAAATTTTTCCATAGTGTGTGAAAAGTAGTTATAGACAATTTTGAATTAAGTTTTGAAAACTCCTTTCCCCAAAAAACTCAATAAACCAAACAAAATTTTCTTATTTACCATGTCAAAGTCAAACTTCAAAACTCAATTTCACACTCGGATTCAAAACTCAATTTAACACTTCTATTCAAAAACCATTACCAAACAAATTTCTAGGCCACTCAAATCATAATTCCACACCCCTTCACTCACATAACTCAAAACAACGACTCATACTCTCAAATCATATTTATAAAACTCAACCAACGCAACCTAACGACTTTAGAGAACCACTTTTATTTGTCCCAAAAACTAAAAACTTTTAGAGACTAATTTATGTTTGTTTAAAATTAATTTTTGTCTCCCATAATTACTGCCCTTAGGTGGATCTATAATTAGACTTTTAGAGACAAGTTTTGGTTGTATCAAAAATCAAAAACTATTTTGCAACACATTTTTTGTCTCTAAAAGTCTATTTATATGTGAGCAAATGCAAATTTGTCTCTTAAAAGTCATTTTTGACTTTCCATAACGGGCATTTCGGACAAACGTCGCGACGGAAGTTTTTCCCAAC